TTTGACAGATCTGCAGAGGTCGATTTTTTAAATTTCCAATCTGGTCTATATTTTTGTTTATTAAAATACACTCTGATGAATGGGCTACAGACAAGTTACATGTAGATACAGGGTGAGAGTACACATCTACATGTTTTGTGTCTAAGAAATGTTCTCATTAGACTTTAAATATTCTTTATTCTCATGAGTCATGATATGAACAAGTATATGAGTTCATTAAATGACCTAATGAACTATTCAAAACATGTGAATATGTCATTTTAGATGAATTTTAGTAGACAGTAGCATTTTCTGTTTTCATTTTCATATGAAAATCACATTTTTACTTCAATCAGTGCCTTTACTGGTATATAATCATTGGTGTTTTATTGTACCTACATTATGTATATGTTGTTGATGCTGCTTCGTAAGAATTAAATTCGTCCATTACTTCCAACAAAAAAACCTAAGGAGCAAAGAAGACAATAAAATATATTCCAAGTTCCAACCAAAATAAATTCAAAATGTTTATGATTTATAGCTCAATATATTTAATGATTCAGGCATCAGAACATGCATATTATTCCACATACGAAACCTTCACCCCTTCACAAAAGCTTCACAATGGATGATTAGTCGTTGTGCTTTTAAATGGTTATCATCAACCAATAGGAAATCTTGTTTAGCTCATCAAAGCTCTGGATTGGCTTTTAAACAAGTGAAAATTAAATTTGTATTAATGTGTTATTGTTACCTTCCTCAACCTACATGGATGTTATCTCATTGAGTTCTTATTTTGTCTTCAGATTTGAACAGATTAGTTAATCTACTAATTTGTATCAAATGGAGAATTTAGAAAGACTTGGAGTGTAGTACCTACTTAAACAATGCTTATTACGTTTGACATTTTCTTGTGTGTCTCAACAGTACCAGTGTTTCTACAAGTATAAATATTCATCTTATGAAATTGTAATTATTCTATGAATATAACAATGTTAAAATATCCTTTATTGTATGTATGTATTTCCAATTGCAATTAAATTGGTAAACTTGCCAAATGTACTTTGAATAATAACAAAACTCTGGCTTTGACTGTGTTGTTTTTATTTGCAGCTGCATGTACAGTACAGTATACATACATATATTTACAGTTGTTGAATAAGATTTACATCGACTTAATAATGTAAGGTTGATAGTTTAAGTGTTTTTGGAGGAGGATGTTACATCGTAAGTGTACTGTGTCATAGGTAAAGTCAGAAATATTGAAACTGATTTGCTTGTTTTGTGTACTTAAAGGTAGGGGATTGAGAGAGAGAGAGAGAGAGAGAGGGTGGATGGGATTGGGAGGGAAGGATAGAGGGATACATAAAGAGAGAAGGAGAAAGAGGGGTGAAGAGGATGGCTAGGTTGCATTCAAGCAACCCCCACATTGTGTGTATGTTCGCATTATGGATACGGGTGTCAAGGTTGAGAGTATACATGTACATGTAGAAGGTTAATAGACATCTAGTTAAATTCTCACGAAAACAAGCAATACATGTATACCAAAGAATAATTATATAATATGGACTGGCCTTGAGGGAGACACCACATAATATTTCCCAAACTAGACTCATATTGCCCCGAGTCAAAGACGAGGGCAATATGGGTCTTGTGATGGAAATATATGTGGTATCTCCCGAAAGTTAAGCCAGTCAATATTGTTATTATCTAAATCAGACATCTAGAGCAAATAATACATGACAATCTCATAGAACTGAACAAACTTTGTCAAACCAGCACTGTGCATCCAGCTGCTTGACAAAATTTTCGATACACTGACAACAGTGTACCCAATTTGGATTGATATTACGTCACAATAGAGTGCGCGTACAGTGCGCAGGTTCTCGTACGCATAATAGATGCGCATTGAAAATGACAAAATACGGCGCGGTGAATATGGTCTTTTATATACCTCACTTAAGAAATCCAGCCATCTGATTGGTCGAATTGCATTCATAAACTTCAACTGTTCCTGTAAAATTCTCGGTAACCATGCATAAAACATTTCAATATTTTTAATAACCATGGTTATTAAAAAAAGTTGGTCAGCGTCCATGGTTACCCCATAGGTTTACATGTTAAAAAATGGTTTGAGCGATGGAGGATGCCGTATGTGTGCGAAGGATTGGTCGGTAATTTCAATACAATTGAATCTCGATCGATCTTACCGACACTTTTATCTTGCATTGTTGACATGAAGACGAAAATAAACTTCCAAAAACAAAAAAACAACATCTGCCGATAGATCTTGATCTAAGTTCGTGCCAATATGCATTGCAAAAGTAAAAGAAGAGTCCGTATATGGAGCTTTTGCGAAGCATTCATCACACGCGATGCCGGTTTCAATCCATTTTAATGTATATATTGGAGAAAACTGCCTAGCATGTTAACGGCGGGCCATAGCCGAGTGGTCTAAGCGTTGGTTTTCGGTACACCTCTTGTTGTACGCAAGAGTTCGAGTCCCGTCTTCGACAAAAATGTAAATTATTTTTTATTTTTTATTTTTTAGTCTATTTTTTTTCGGCATATAAAAGTATTAATGACTGCTTTAATATTCGAGAAATAGTTGTTTTCATACGCTCTCGGGAAGGTTAGAATTGGGCTATTCCCCTCGGCAAGCCTCGGGGAATAGCACAATTCTAACCTTCCCTTGAGCGTAATAAAACAACTATTTCTCTCAAAGCAGTCATTAATACTATAATATTTCATGCTTTTTTTAACACTTTAAGTCCATAGGCTTTTTCATGAAAGGTAAATAATTATGGTCTCATATTCCCCGATTAGCCCTTTTAGGATTACAAACGAGTGTAATATGATTTTGTAAAACCACTGCTCAGATGTCTGATCCGGGTAATAATGAAGATTAAAGTTAATGACCATATCAGGTTTTGATTTTCCTTGTGCTGGTTGTTAATATCTGACATTATGTATATTATAGAGTCGACTCAAAGGACACATAAACATATAAGCAGGAGAAAATTGAAGAAAAGTTCGCTTTAACCCACTCTTTCTTTTCTCTTTACTTTTTATAATTATCTGCGGCCATTGGAGCCCAGCCTCACATGTCCCATTTGCAGGCCAAAAAGTGAAAAGATTAAATTCCAATGGCATTTGAAAGATATACTAATCTAGAACTTCACTCAAAACAAAAGGGCTTGAAAATGTCTTTTTGTGGGAAAGTAACGACCGTTATTTTAGCGAGCGCGCTCGTTTAATCAGATAGTCTGATTTTCAGACCCTTGTAACGAATGGTCGTACGAAGTTGTGCTGCGAAATTATTCAATCAGTTTAATTTTGGCTATAACAATAAGTGGGTTATTGATGTAGACGAATGCCCATGTACTCTTTATAGCTCATTTTATGTACGTTTTTACCAAAGAAAAAAAAGAGGTCAGCCAGTCACTCAATAGTTTTTGACGGTGAAGTCTAGAAGGTAAACGGGTTTCCTTGCATAACTTTGAATACTAGGACACTGCTAACGTTTTCACATTTCACAGATATGACATACATGACATATTCATAATTCCTGCAAAGTTCTACATAATTCGATGTTGGCTGCAAAAGGGATTCACTACCTTTAAATTAGGAGCACATTTTTCTATGGTGAAAGAAAAAGGGGCACACATCCACAGTTTAAAGAACACTTACTAGAAAAGAAAAGGAGCACGTGTCAAAGTAAAATTCGTAACTGCCCGAGATTAAAATGGGGCGTTGCTCTCATCTAATAAGGGGCACGCACCAGAGATGAAAAGGGGCACTTATCAGAACGGAAAAGGGGCACTTATTACAAAGGAAAAGGGGCAATTATCAGAAGGAAAATGGCACTAATTAGAAAGGATAGGATGTGTCAAATAAAAGGGGCACTTATTACAAAGTAAAAGGGTCACCTCTCAAATTGTTTTAAGGGCACTCACCGGAGATGCAAAGAGGCACCTAAAACTGTAAAAATAGAAGGGACACCTCTCAGATTAGAAAAGAGGAAATTATAAGGGGTGAAGGGGAACTTATCAGAGGTGGTAAGGGGTATTTGTTGAACCTGAAAATGGGCAATTACCTAGGCTGAATAGGGGCACTTGTGAGAACGAAAATGGGCACTTATTACAAAGGGAAATGGGCAATTGTTAAAAGAAAAGGGGCAATTATGGGACTGGAGAGAAGGGTCACTCATCCAAGATGAAAATGGGCACAGAAGGCGAAGGGGCACTTATTACAACAGAAAAGGGCATTTGTTAAACTAAAATGGGAACCTATCAGATTTGAATAGGGGCAATTTACATCGATGAAGGGGGCACTTATCAGAGGTGGTAAGATGCACTTTTGTGGAATAAAAAGGGGCACTTTAGGGATACTTCGAAAAGTAGGGGCACTGTGCCCCCACCCAGCCCCCGGCTCCGCCACCTCTACAGGTAACATGATAAATGACTCATATTTAAAGATGAAGTTGAGTTCTGGTCATGCGATTGCATTGTGAAAGAAACGGTGTGGAACCGACCAGAAAAGGTTGATCATCTAGCATATAAGAATTTGTGTGTATTGCAAGGTTCTGGAATCATCAAAATGATAAGAAATGTGGCCAAGTCTTGGTAAAGTTACAAACACTTGCACAGAAAGATGTATATGGGACTACACGAACACGTGGCGTAAAAAGCCGGCCCCCCGATTTTTACGATGTTACATGCATATTTAGAATAATTATGAAGGCATTTGAAGAGCCATGCTTTTCAGGGAACATGTCTTAACTGATGTTCTTCCACACTTGCATAATAAGAATGAGTAATGCTCACAAATTATTTTTCACCTCTTCCCAGAACTCAACCTTCTCTTAAGTGTTAACACGTTTAAGTTTGAGGTTATATATCGACAGTCGGCCGTCTACTCAAGGGCAATTCTATATACCCTATTGAAGATCCCATAGATATTATGTTCGCACTTGTTCATATTTCGCCTTCCGCTCATAATTATGAATGACACTCGCGGCAACGATCATGCCTCAGCTTTCCGCTGGTATCTTTACGCACGTATCTTTTAGTAGGGATTAAGGCCTAGCTATCTCAAGTGTTAACAACTAGGCCGTCTATATCTGTGATTTAAAGGTTGAATATCACAGTGGGAAGAGTCACTTTCCAATGAAACCACGAATGCATCATCAAGCTAGTTTGCACGTCACTGCGAATACACCTTCAACCTGGAATAGTTTAAAACGATTTTGGTTTTACTTCAATTAATGATCTTCAAACTTCGCTTAACTGAATGACGCAACGGGGAATACGCAGGAGAGGGTGAAACACGCTGAGTGGCGTTTTGGGGTGGATATTTTCTTGTGGCGAATGACCTGCAATTATGGGCCTGAATTTATCGAATGGACAGAAATCGCAAGAAGGACAAACATTAGATGTTGCAAGTGACGATAAGATTTTGAAACACATGAAGGATGTGATACGCGGGAAGAATGGCCTAGATATTCAAAGAGAGGTAAGTGCAATGATCCAACACAAGCCGATAAAATGATCAACAGATACACTGTTGACAAATAAGTTGGAATATTTTTCGTTCTCGCCTCTTTTAATGAAATGATTGTAACAACATGGTTGATTTGATTTGATTTGATTTGATTAATTCATTTCTGTTTGATTTTCTTTTTCTTTTGCATTTTTACAAATATAATAACAAACAAATAATGCAAATTTACACATGACAAAAGAATATATGTAGAATAAAGTAAGGCTGGGTGTAACTAATCGAGAACATCAAACAGGAGGGTTGACAAAATAAGCAAAGCTTGATAGTATGACTACCCTCAAAGGATACATAATAATACAAATATGGAGGAACAAAATATTGGTAAAAAGGGGGGAAAGACAGAGGGAAAAAGAGAAAAGAAAGAGGGGATGCACATCAATATTCACAGACTTATGTGGTAGTTGGATTTCAAATTGATACATAAAGATTTTTAAAAAGAAAAGAAAATGCAAATTTTAATACTGAGTGGCCAACTTGGGATACAATTATAGAATGAGAAGACTCGCGAGGTTCGGACATTAAGAATGTGAAAGTAAGATCAGCCAGCTGGTTTTAAACCTGGGCCTGCGAGTCGGAGCCTTGAAATGTTTGTATAGAAGACAGTGTTTATTCAGTATTCCAAGTAGGCCACTCTTTATTCATACGTTTATTCATACCAGGTCATGGAAGGTTATAATCAACGTTTCAATGAATGGAAGCAAAAAAAGTAAACAGTACAGAAAATTATCGAGTTTTGTAACGATAGGTAAACGAGGAGAACTTATTTTGTTGGTGGATTTAAAGATAATGAGCAGTAAGAAACTTTTTCACCACTCTTTTAAAGGATAGCATTGTATTCATCGTTTTATTTCAGGGGGTAGTGCATTCCAGGTATCAGGGCCAGAATGTCTAATTGAGTTTTGAGCTAAGGCTGTTTTGGCGTTAAATAGGTGATATTCATTGGAATGCCTGGTTGGGTAGGAATGAAAATTAAAATTATGTTGGAATAAAATGACTAGTGATGGGGGAAGATTGCTGGATTTGAGCCGAAACATTAACAGAGATTTTTGCATGTAGTGTATATCACTTATTTTTAGAGTTTTTAATGTGACAAATAAAGGGTCAGTGTGGTCGCGATAACCTGCATCGGTACAAACTCGAATTGCTTTTTTCTGTAACAGTTATATACGATTAGTATTGCACTTATGAGTGGTGCCAGGTAAAAATGTCAGAGGAAAAAATATCAGAGGTAAAAATGTCAGAGGAAAAAATGCCACAGGAAAAAATGTCAGAGGTAAAAATGTCAGAGGTAAAAATGTCAGAGGTAAAAATGTCAGAGGTAAAATTGTCAGAGGTAAAAATGTCAGAGGTAAAAAATGTCAGAGGTAAAAATGTCAGAGGAAAAAATGTCAGATGTAAAAATGTCAGAGGTAAAAATGTCAGAGGTAAAAATGTCAGAGGAAAAAATGTCAAAGGTAAAAATGTCAGAGATACCAAAAAAAAGGAAGGTTAAAAAAAAATGTAGGGGAAAAATTGGTGCCATCATAATATCTCGGCACTTTATCACACAAAATGTCAAGATGTAAGCTACTGGGCTAGTCTATTATATTTTATAAATGTCTGTGTAGTGTACTTCGTACATGTCCTGAGGATAATACAATGTGGAAAATTGAAACTTGTATTTTGTGATGGTTTGCATATATTAATTTCTATCATTTTTCGATATTTAAAATTGGTTGATGTTTTAATGTTTATTTGGTTTTGAGGAAGTAGGCCTAAGTACATAGAATATTAAGATTGAATGAGATACAACAGGGAATCAGTTATAAAGATTGCACAGAAATTCCACAAATTTAGTCATTAGACCCATCTTCATGTCCATCCCAGCAAAGACTGTTATGACAAGAAAACATTAATAAAAAGACTCGGATGCTTTGTCCCTCTCATCGATACTTTATTACAAAAGTTTAACAAACAATATCAAAGCTTCGCTTGAAGAATGTCAGATAGTAGGCCTACAAGTGGTAAACGTTGAGACATATCTTCCTAGGTATTTTGTCATGTGCTTTCGAGTTTCGACCATAACACTGCGTAACTTTATATTTAAAAAAAAAAAAATCATGTTTGTGATTAAGAAACGTGGGAGAAATACAGTATAAGTACCTCAATTTCAACTGTTTTTGTTCTGCCAAATTCATGATGCATTGTGTTTAATGTGTAGACTTGTACGAATATGTACCTGCTGGAAACTGTCGTATACAGTGTATGCCAGCACACCTCGTATAAATCCTGCACCAAATATCCTTTAAACAATATTATCATGTATACAAGCAGTATCATGATCAGGGGCGTCAATCCTGGGGGGGGGGGGGGGGGGGGGGGACACGTCCCCCCCCCCCCCCCACACGAATTTTCAGGTGGTGAAATGTACCCCCTATGTTTTGTCAGAAAAGAAGTTCTTTGATAATTTAATGTATAACGTCAAAGCTTCCGCGCGGGAGGGTGGGGGGGGGGGGGAGGACAGGCGCGGATCTACGGGGGGGTTTAGGGGGTTTAAACCCCCCCCCCCCTTGGGCGGCCCCCCCCCAAAAAAAAAGGAAAAAAAAAAAAAAAAAAAAAGAAGAAAAAAGAACGCACGCTGGAGAGAAACCCTTTCAAGTGCAAATATTGTGAGAAGATATTCAACTCATCTGGTAACTTAACCAAACACATGATAAATCTGGATATAACTGTGTATTTACTGTTACTTGATTTAAAAAGACGTTATCATGCACTGCTTTTTATGGTCTCCATTGTGTTAATAGATGCCAGGAAAACATCACTTACGGAGTTCAAATAAACACCCCAAAAAAAATCGGCTCGCCGCTTCGCGGCTCGTGGACGATGCTCCGCATCGTCATTATTTTGGTCAAACCCCCCCCTTAGCAAAAAGCTAGATCCGCCCCTGGAGGAACTGAATTCAAACAAGGATTAAGAGTCGAGAACGGTATACAACGAATCGTCTTCTTTCTCTAAAAATGTAATGAAACGTCAAATATAAAAAAGGCAATGAATGAACCGGTCACCAATGAAATTACATGCCGTGAAACAGAATAATAGAGAGAGAGAGTGTGTGTGTAGCAACATAACGTGGTATACTTGTCAAAGTAACTGTTAAATTGTGTCCCCCCCCCCCCCCCATGCTCTAACTCGGATTGACGCCCTTGATCATGATGCTATAAATGTGTACAGTAAAACTATGTTTCTGATATGTTACTCATGAATAAATATTTGTCAATTTCAGAGTTTGATCTCTCACAGCAAATAATTATAGAACGATGTAGCTTAAACAGAACCTCTACAGAGCGCGCACTTATCTGGAATGTGATGGTGCGGTTAGTATTTGATGTAACATTGGCGGCTTTCTGCTTTGTATCAGAGTATCAAGCTGCTTATCGATGTTCTCCCAGACTATTTATACCGCAATAGTGATCGACGATCAACTCTTTGCAAAGCGCACGCTTCTCTGGAATGTGATGGTGCGGTTAGCATTTGATACATGGGCGGCTTTCTGCTTTGTATCAAGGTATCAAAGTATCAAGCCCACAAAAAGTGAAATTGTTGGAAATATGCATTTGTAGGAAATTACATTTTATAGTAGTCATTGCCACATTTTAAAATGTCCATCAATCTTCAGAAGGGATGGTGAAGTGGGGGCGGACGGGGGGCGGAGGGGTGGCGGGGGTGGCGGAGGACTCACAGCGTGATATCTTATCTTCTTTCTTTTTTTGGGGGGGGGGGGGGGGAGGGGGGGCTGTGACGACTTTTCTTTTTATTTAATGATTACACCATCGAGCCACAACTCGGCCTATAATTATTCATTGCCAAACTATTCGATTTTAGACATTTTTTTTTCCCAGAAGTTTGCTCAGTGTACCAGTATCACTTGCTTAGACAAAGGCATATGAGGGGGAGGCAGCCGGGTCACTACGAAGGATGCACCCCCCCCCCCCTGTCTCCCCTCGGCAATAATCGGGCAAAAGGTCCCAATTTCGGGCAGAAAGATAATTATAAAAGTTATAGAAAGAAGAAAATAAAGCAGCGCTGAAATTAATGAAATTTTTTACCTCTGACATTTTTTCCTCTGGCATTTTTACCTCTGACATTTTTACCTCTGACATTTTTTCCTCTGACATTTTTACCTCTGACATTTTTACCTCTGACATTTTTACCTCTGACATTTTTTCCTCTGACATTTTTACCTCTGACATTTTTTCCTCTGACATTTTTACCTCTGACATTTTTACACCGAGCCCTTATGAGTAGCCCATATGATATTGCAGTAAGAAATATATGGTAAAACCAGTGTATTATATAGCATACTAAGCACATGACTTGTGTTGGCAAAAAGTATTTTAGCTTTACCAATATTGCGAGAAATAGGGGTAGGAATATAGTTCACATGATCATTCCAGTTACATTTTTCATTTATATATATATATATATACACCTAAGAACTTCGTTGATGACTTTTTTTCTATTGGAACATTATCGACAAGCAGCTCAAAGTAATTGGTGAAACATTAGAAATATCGTTGACATACAGTATATCAAAAATAATAGTGGCCCAAGAATGGAGCCTTACGGAACTCCACATTTAATAGATGATACGTTAGAAGAAACTGAATTGAATAAAGTATATTGTTTTCTTGATGACACGTAATTTTCGAACCAATCAAGTGCTTTACCTCTTACACCGTAATGCTTTAATCTATACAATAATATAGTATCATTAAGAGTATCAAATGCCTTGCTGATATCCATGAATATGCCTATTACATGTTTATGATCAGCCAAGGCATTTGATACTCTATCGATTGGAGTAGTGCTAAATCAGTTGAATGGAAATTCCTGAAACCAAACTGATCTGGGTTCAGCGAGTCGTTTTGAGTTAAAAATTTATATAATCTGTTGTAAACCATTCTTTCGAGGAT